TTTCCTTGTTGAAATTAGGTGAGAAAGAAAAAGCTGGCTGGCTCACCCAGAAATAAGCCTGTTTTCAATTAGGAGCTGCATTTGAAACTTTTACAAAGTACCAAATACTGTGTGCTCATTTTAAGGGCAGTTGAATGTGTGTGCACAGTTAGAGGTGGGGAAGGAAGTTGGGAGTACAGAAAAGAGAAGCTGCGTATTTGGTCATTCCAACTTGAAATTCTGTTTCTGAGTCATCACTAAAAGCATAATTTAACCCTAACAAGTAGTTCAGAGACAGCACCAAGAAAGTATAGAACCTTCCCACTTGTGTAAAAGTATTTCCCAAGTCCAAAGACAGCCAATATTCAAATGAAATTGTAGAGAACAACCCATCTACAAGCTGAAGATTTTTATGAGAATCAAGAAAGTGGCACTATGACTTTGGGGCTTTCAAGGCACATAACTCAGTTTAAATCCCTGCTCTTGTTCCAATTGGATGTGTGAACCTGGACAAAGTATTCAAGTGCTGTTAAGTTTATTTTTTGCATCGATGAAATGATGATAAAAGTACCTATTACTTCCTCATAGAATTCTTACAAAGATTAGTGGATATAAATGAATGTAGTATGAACATTTGAGCAATGAATATTAACTCTTCTTGAGACAAGCATATAGTCATGTAATCAAATAAAGCCTGGGTAGGGAGAGATTCAAACCCAAGGCTGATTTTAGAGCATAACATTTGAGTCTGTATTTTATGTCTTTTAAAATACATTGTATTTCAGTAGAACTGTTTTTTTGAAGGTGCTTAGTGAGAAAAGTAATCATTGTGTGAGGCAAGGATTTTCTACGTTATCATTCCCTTCTCCCTGGAAGACATGAGAAAATCAGTCTTCAGCCCTGATGTGAACACCATCCCCCTGTTTTGGTGCTAAAAAAATGTCTTTTGCTTTTTAAAAATAATGTCAGCTGCATGTGTCACTGCATGTCACTTTCATTTTTTGGTTAGTTATCCTTAAAAAAAATAACAGTAAGCCAGAAATAGCCATTTTGTAAAAACTGCATAGCTAGACAGATTTGTGATCCTTATTAGGGTAATAATCCATCTATTATGGAAATGGATCAATTTGTAAATTAAATTGAGTCAACTAGAAGGGAAAAGTAAGGTCTTGATTTTTCCCACAGTAAGCATTTTCTCAAGTGATAGTCATCCTAAAAAGATTTGGGAAAACTCACTTCTTTGCCGTTCATCCTCTTTTTGCTCAACTCAGGAAAAAAAAGGCTAACTTACCCATTTTTAGAAGAAGAATAGAGTTGAAGCTTTTAGGTTCATTAAGGGCCTGATTGCTCCTAGAAGTTACATTTTTTTTTTTTTTTTAGTGTTAAAACCTTGCAGTCACTCCCAGAACATTGCTTATACGCATTGTCTAGTTTAGTAAATCTGTAACTATGTTTGAATTATCATCTGCAGTTAGTTCATTTTACTGTTATTTTCATCTTGTCTGATCAAAAAAATCTCCTGATAATTCTCCTAACACTGTGTGATTGGAATAATAACTTCAAATGTTGAAGGATTCTGTGCTGCAGCTGAGAGGCATGTAAATACAAGCTGCTTATTTGCAAGAAGCTTCCAGATTTGCAATATGATTGCTATGGAAACCACATAATGAAAACCTTATAACCATCTGTGTAGTTGATGGATTTTACTGCATAGCTGAGCTGTTTTTGTTTACTGTTATTAAAATGTTGAATGGAATGTATTAGCCTGCACACATATACTATTTGAGGTATTAATTGATATTATATAATGACATAGTACCTCAACACCAAAATAAAGGATGTTTAATAATTAAACTTAAAATAACCTGTGAGTATATCTACTATACTGTGAAGGTGATTATTGCCTAGAATGTTGGTCATCTTATTCTTATATATATATTTTGAGTGGTTTGAAGAGGTTTCCTCTGTTAATAAATGATATAGTGTGATTTATTTTCATAATATTTTATACATTTATTCAGTCAGTGTTTATTGAACAGCTCCCTATACCAGATTGTATTCAAGATTCAATCTGAGTTTTTTCCCCCTAAGGTTAAAAACACACACACACACACACTAAATTTGATTTTGTTATCTTTTATATGGAAGCTGTTTGTATTGTTAGGCCAAGATAAAATGAACTGCTTGAATATTGTTAAGAAAAATTGATGTATGAAATGCATAAGGCTTTGACCTAAAAATATCAGTACTAGGTTTGAAATAGAGAAAGGAAGTGTTTTTAATGAGCATTTAATTTTCTAAAATACTGCTTATTAAGCAGAGTTTTTCCATCTTATTGTAATATTTTTTGTATGATGTGTTGATACTGACTATGGATGGTAAGTCTAAATCCTAATAATGTACGAGCAAAGAACAGTGCTTCCTGTATTGACATTATAGTTTTTGACTCGGGAACAAGTGCCCTTAACCATTTTTTAATTTACTCCTTACTATTGAATTTGTGACCAAATTGGTAGAGGTGGGTGGGGGAAGAGAAAGTATGAAAAATAAGGCAAACTTTTTTCTCTACCTTTTAAAGAATTAACTAGCTGTAATATGAGTAGTTTGGACCAGACGATTATAAATATCCCTAATACCTTTAAAACTTAGTTGAAAACACCCTATTAACCTTTTAGTGATAACTAGCCCTTGAGATTTGATATAAGGGAGATAAATGATATTGAAGAGAATAGAGATTATATTTAGTATTAGACCTTTTATCAGGTCTTCTGTATTAATTAGTATTTGAACCATATTCAATTGCCAATATTAGGTTCAACCTAATATTTATGAAACACCAAATATTTCCATCTGTCCCTTATATTGGAGCTCTCAGTATTTTTTTTTAATTGGGTTACAAAATTTCATTAGTTATTTTTGTCTCATAGTTACACTCTCAAGCTTGATATAAATGTTAATTTTATTAATTACCACTTTCAAATTTGCAGGAAACTTCCAGACTTACATCTGTAGTCCTGACCTCTCTACCAGCTTCCCAGTTGACTCTGGGCTTTTCCTCTGGGTTGCCCCTGGAGCACATTAAATCCATCAGAAATATAACGGCTTGTGTCCCCCCAGCTAAATAGCTTATCTTGACTATTCCCCTTTTAGTAATGGTGTTCGCATTTTTCAGTTCACTATGCTCAAAGCCTGAGTCATCCTTGGTTGTTTTTTTCCTTCCTTAGCCTTCTGCATCCAGGCAGGCATAGAGTTTATCATAAGCATCTCCTTTCCATTTCCTCCCTTCCCTCAGTTCAGGACTTTAGCCCTCCGCCAATGTCAAGATCATAACAGCATGTTCACGGCCCCTCAACAGTTGGCCCAAATCACTGACATTATCTCCCAATCTGCTCTACCCCTTGAGTAGCACCTACTTCAGCCAAAATGAATGGAATGTGCCTTATTCTTTAGTTTATGCTTCTCCCTGTCTGAAAATACACTCTCCATCTCTCTTAATGTAAATTTCCCTTAACTCCTGAAGGCTTGATGGTATTGCCCAGTTAGGTGGTTTCTTCTTTGCATGCTCAGCTTCTCTGCTATCCTTACCTCCCTGGTAGAACCTCTCTTTATTATAGGTAGTTAATACTCAAGGAAGATTTATTTTTTATTTTTTTTTTTTTTTATAGAGGCATGTTTATTTATTTATTTATTTATTTGTTTGTTCGTTCATTTTGTTTATACATGCACTGGGTACAGTCAGAAGCGCGGGAGGGTGAGAGAATTCACCAGAGCCAGAGCAGGGAGCAGAGCAGGCAGAAGGACCGAAGTACACTGCTGAGGGGAGCAGCGGGCGGCAGGAGAGGTCTGCGCGCCATGTGGGACCCTCCTCCAGTGGCCTGGGAGCAGCCGGGGATCGAACCGGCGCCGCAGAGGTCGCCGGCAGCTTTGCAACCCAGCGCTCAACCGCTGCGCCACCGGGGAGGCCCTCAAGGAAGATTTATTGATCGAAGTATTTACTAGTCATATGGCTACATTTTAATCTTTTGTATATTTTTCTTTCAGTTTTTGGATTTTCTTGACATCAAGATTGTTTTTGAACCCAATTTTTCTTTGGCCTGCCATTTCATTCATATGCCCTGCCTTAAATATTCCTAAATGGTATATAAATACTTAGGATAGGAGAATGGTGATATAATAAATGTTTCTTTGATATAAATTAATGGAATGGTCTGTTGATTCTGTTTAGAATGCTTCTCATTTAATTTTACATTATTTTTCTTCCTATAACTTCGTAAAGACCATGAGGGAAGAGTGTGGCCATAACATAATATAGGTAAGGTGTTGGATATTTGCAGGATAAGGAGCATGGACTTTCTAATTGCAAGCCTAAGTTTGAATAACACTGGAAGTTTCTTTACATTGTTGAATCTCAGTTTATTCATCTGTAAAATTAATATTTAAAACTTACTTATCTGTGAAATCTTAACACATGCTACATAATGTACAGCACATAGTACTTCCTTAATCTAAATTGAGAATTACCTTAAAGGTTGAGGATCCTTCTAGTATCCTTCTGTGACCACCAAGTGAGAAAATTGAAGTATGTGATACTCAATAAATGACTTACAGGTTAACTGGATTTTATAGCACACGTTTTCACTTTGCAATCTTGACGTAATAAGGGCCATAATTTTATCTGTATCTGTAAATGCTGGTTGTCATTTTACCGGATGCGAAGGCTTTTTTGGATTTAAGATTGTTCTAGATGAGTTTCTAAAAGTATTTAAAACAAAATATGCAAAACATTAGTAAACAAATTTTACCAAGTCATTTGGCAAGTTTGTGATTTGGAAATAGCTGGAGGTTTGTTTGTGCAGCTTTAAATTATTTAAAAAGGAATGCAAATGTTGAGTGGTTTCATTCTTTGAAAAGGAATAGGGGTGTGTTACCACCTTTAGGTTTTACTCTTAAAATGGGGTGAGTGCTGTCTTGTTATCCCTGGGGAAACCCTTCAGTTTACTGTTTCTGTTGCTCACTTCCAGAAGAGGAAGAGGACAGCACTCCCATGAAAGCTGGGGAACAAAGGAAGACGAGCCTGGACAGTGCCCGCCCCACCTCAGGTAATGAATGACTTGTGTCACTTCCTGGGAACACTGATTGTGGTTTTTTTCACCTTCTTACTGAACTAGAGACATTTACACAACTCCCCGAAGTTGGCTCCTTGGGTCTGGATATCTTATGGCTGATAAGCTGCTTAGTCCCATTTAGGATGCATGAAAACCACTTGAGAAGGATTTATAAAGTAAGCCAATTTATACAAGGTATTCCTTCCTGAATTACTCTGTAATGACTCAATTAGCTTTCATTTCTGCACAAAGGAGATTTAGTTGCATAAATTAGCTTATCATCATTGAGGAAGTGTCACTGCTAAAGGACAGTTTATAGATACAACATGCAGTTGCTGTCAAACCTATAAGAATGTAATATAGACATCTGTGTATACTTTGTGCTTGAGCAGAACAGACTTCTGCCATTCAGAGACTAACAGGGGACAACAAGTTGCCCAGGGGACTGGCAATGTAGACATCTCTGAAAAGGTCAACTTGACACAGGCTCTGACAATCGACCCACAGCTCTGTCTTCTTTGATAAAAATCAGATAAACTTAAGACCGCTAATTGATCTGCAGCCTGTTTAAATGTTGGCCATGCATATCTTCATTGCATATGATTAACACAGAAAGCAAATGAATTGGGTAAGAAATGCCAGAGTCCAGTGACAGCAGCTTAAAAATTGGAAAAGGACGCTTGTGGCCTAGAAGGCTAGGAAAGGATATTCCTCTTATCCGTTTCCACTTGGCACATGGCCCCAAGTACTAATTATGACTGAGACTGGAAAAATAACTACACATGCAGTGCACACAATCACATGATATGGGCAACTTTGTGTGTGTGTGTGTGTGTGGTTGTTATTTCCAAATAGCGGGAGATAAACATTATCTGTAGTGCAAGCTGAGGTTAGTTTTGATAAACCAGCAATTATTTTACACAGAAAGAAGAGGAGGACTGCATGCTTATCAGGACTTAGCACCTCTTCACAGCCACATGTCAGCTGGGGCAAGGTCTGCCATATCATCCCATGTCCTGCAAAGAGCTGTTGTTGGGGTCACCTTCCCCTCGCCGATCTGTCCATACATCACTCTCTCAAGCTGTCAGAGGCAGGGTGGATGAGAAGTGTGTGTTCAGGAAGTAGCTTTCCAGAGTCCTTCCTACGGTGACATGTGGAAAGGAAACAGGGGCCTGATTTCCGGACCTGAACAGGAAAGCAGGAGCAGGTTGCTGCAAAAGGGTTTGGTTTGCTTTTTCCAGAAAGGAAGTGAGGACGAAGTCATTCGATGCTAGCACTCCAGCCCTGTGAAATGTAGCTATAAAACACTAGGGATGATGAAACTTTTAGAATGATGTTCAGTAGTAACTGAAGTATATATGTTTTGTTGTGTATCATAAAACTTCTGTCAAGAGCATGTTGTTTTCTTTCTTTTCTTTTTTAATGCAGTGCAGGTGTAGAAGGTAGATACATAGCCATTCTTTCCATAAAGATAAGTATTTTGGTTTAGAGCAATTATATTTTTCAAAAACCCTTTTAAAGTAACTATCTCCCAAATTTTTGCCTGTGAGGGAAGGGAAAAAAAAAATCTGTTTTCCCCAAAGGAATGCAATAAGTAAATCTAGCTTTTCATGCAATAGCTATCAAGTACTGCAATAATTCTTATCTTTAGTGACATGAAATTCTTTTCAAGCAACAGTTTTAATGCTTTTGCATAGCAGTGACCTCTGTTCTCCCTAGACTGTCAAAGATGTAACACTAGAAGTTTGTTTGCAGTGCAGGGCAGTGAGTTGACAAGGGTATTACTATCTTGCTGAGCATCACATGACGTGAACTTCTAACCTTACTCAAGAATGTTATATATTTTTTACATTGACTGATTTTGCTAAAAAGTGTTTTTCACACTGCTGTAATGTAATATATTTAAGCATAAACAAAATTAATCTTGTATTTCTTATAAGTTCTTTCATGTTCAGGCTTGTAGATTGCTCATATTTATTGTGTGTATGTGTGTATGTATGTGAATATATATAATATATATTCTATATATATATATAATGAAAATTCAATTTAATTTTCAACACTGTAGAATGTTTTTCTTTCTAAAACAATATTCCAACCTATAGCTCTGATCAGGGAGAGAACCTCCATTATCTTATTATCATATATTTTATCCATTGTCATCCTATTTTTAAAACCTTTTATTTTTGCAAAAGTATCTCCAGTGTTTAGTTTATGCTTTCATAACAACTCTGTCATCTTTAACCAATAATCTGTTTTTGTGTGTATTAAAAGGCAAGAGCAGGTACATTGTTTAAATTTTCCACAGACTGAATTTAGAAATTTTTTTTCTCACCTGCTTTTTAAACTGTTCATGTTTCTCAAGATACATATGAGGTGATTTTGGGTGTAATGTTGAAAAAAAGGATCATGGTATGGATAGAATAGGAAAAAATTAATCCAAGTGGAAAAAACTAACTAAACAGGCTTATTTTGTATTCAGAAGTGTGCTTCTCGATAATGCTGTTCCTGCACCCTCCCGCCTTTTTAAAAAAAAAAAAGCTTGTCCCACATGGATTATTTCTCAGCATAGGTGAAGAGCGTTAACTTCTGTGCATCTGCTGTGCTACTGAGGTTGTGTCTGTGCTTCATTTTTGGTGGATGTTTAGCTACACTTAAAATTTTGAAGAGCAAACCAGAGGAGCTTGCTGCTCTCTAAGGAACAAGATAACTCCGAGTTTTTATGTCCAGATTTCATACCAAGAATTTAAGCATTTCCTTCCTGAGGAGACTAAGTGTAATAAACATAGGCTGCCAGGTTTTCTCCCTCGTTGTGATTCTTCTACTTCAGGACCAGTATCATGCGCTGAAATAGATGAGTAAATTGTGTGTACATGTAGTCGTGTGACACAAACAACTTATTATTCTTTAACAAAGCTCACATATGGGACACGGAAATGAGCCTGGTCTTTGGGTAACATCGTCATCAAGATTATAGAAAGCACAGTTGAAATGCATCTTTTCCCCAGTATTGCCAAATCGCTAGCTCTGTTGCCTCTTTACAGCAGTGAGATTTAATGAAATGCTCATGATGCACATCTAGGGAGAGATGCATCTTGCACGCGGTGGGGGTCTCCCTTCCCCTCATGCGCTCCTGTAACTCCCATTAGTGTTAATGGGAGTTTCACCAAGCGCATCGAGGGGAAGAGAGACCCCAAAGTGATAAGGATTATGTGTTAGAATCACCATATACTTTTTTCTTCCTTCTCTCTCACCCCCTACTCTGGCCCATCTTGAAAATCTATCAAATTTAAAACTATTACGAGAGGATGTGAAAAAGGAAAGAACAGCCTGGACAGCTGGGAACCCTCTGGGACACACGAGTGAAGCCAACATTTCTACTCCAGTTTTTAGCCCAAGTTCTGTTTCTTCAGCCTTTTTGGATCAGGCCTGGGGCTGAGCAGCATGGGGAACACATAGGAGCCTTCACTTGGGGAACCAGCTATTAGATCCTTTTACCTCCTGGCCAGTGACTATGGGGGAGGGCCTTGCATGTGAAATGATGTCATCCTCTCTTTGCTCTAATTCCTTGACTTTTAAGCTGACACTGACGGACTGCATGGGGCGCAACATTTGACCCATTTAGCAGTTGATTTAATCTGACTTAGAATGTTTCAACTTCTAAATCTCTATTTGTCTAAATAAGTGGTTTTTAAAGGAAATCAGTCACTTTATTATTAAGTAATTTTTTTCTTAAAAAAAAAAAAATGACAATGTTTGGAGTGATCTGTCCATCCAGAGTGCCCTCTAGTGTCCATTTGTAGAATTTACTTCATGTAGGCTGGGGTGGGGGCATGTAATGAAGGGTGGCCAAAAGCATTGTTAGTTCTTGGTTGGATTCCCAGGCTTGTATACATCCCTGCTGGTATCGGTGATGAGCGCTCAAATGCTAGAGTGGAGGAGTCAATAAGGTGTGTGTTTCTCTCTGTCCTTCTCCCTCCCTCTCTCCTCCCTCTCTCTCCCTCTCTTTTCTAATTTTCAGAAAGCAGGAGAAAAAAAAATAGTAGGAGGCTTTTGTTAGGTTGTGTATTCCAGTCATTTATTTTTCTTAAAGCATTAAAAAAAAAAAAAAGAAAAGAAAAGTAACCTCTTACTTCCCAAGTATTTAGACTATATATTACTCAATTTTTCTTTTTTTTTTTGGCTTTTAAAAACATTTTGGATCTTGAAAGAAAAAAATTTAAATTTCTAATAAATTTAACACTGTATAAATTGCAAAGCACATGAATTGAGACAAACACCCTAATGACACGCTAATGTGACTAGTTGTGTTGGAAGTGCCAAGGAGCCTGCTGTTTGAGAGCCATATAACAAAACCAAGATGACATCCCTGATCCAGCATGTGTCTCCGCAGTTATCCCCTCAGAATTCAAAGATGACATTCCAATGATGGAAGTTGTCAGCACGTATGTGTTCTGCCTGCTTAGTGAATCCACGGACCTCTTATTGATATTACTTGCATTCTTTTTGTGTTAACTCATCAAAATTCAATTATCATGAAATTAAAAACAGGAAACAGTTCTCAGTGTAACAAAAGCATCCAGTGTATTTAACTCTGTGCTGTGTTTCAGGAGACCCACATTGTATAAGTGACAAAGCATTTATTACCCGGTTTATTGTGGTATTACAGAGCGGAGAGCGCTAAATAATCAATCAGTTAATGGTCTGTATGGCAGTTTGAGCACATCACATCCATTGTGCTTATGCTGTTAGAAGGATGAGCTGATAACTCCAGTGTATGTTGCATGTTTATTCAGAGCCTAATGTCTTAAACTGGGGCTGACAGAAATCTTGAAAAATGCCACTTCAGCACTGACAATTTCAAAGTTGCTAAAATATTTTAGAACTGACTTTGCCTCTGGCTCCAAAAGTCCCCAAAGAAAGGAACAGGAATTGCCCTTTGTATCGCGTCCACTTTATCTTCTTTCTTTAAGCAACTTTAGATTTGAGAACTTTTTAAAAATGTAGTTTCCTAGTCTGGGTTTTTATTTGTACCTTAGCTCCTATAATTATTCTTTTTATGAAGTGCGTTTCACAGTGTGTTTATCTCATCTCGTGGATATTGCTGATGATGCAGGGTGGCTGAGTCATCTTCAAAACATGTTGCAAGTGGGCTTAGGTTCCTTATAGAAAATAAATGGGAAGGAACTTTCAGGCCCTGGTTTGGTGAGAACATGTCGCAATTACAGGTTTCAGGCAAAACAAGAAAAGGAGGGGGGGAGGTGGAAACAGGCGTTCAAAATCAGATCTTTTTGAAATGGACCTTCATTAGAATATAGGAAATAGGATTCTTGTGTAGATGTAATAAAATGTTCTTTGAATAAGCACAAACATTTTTTCAACTGTTTGGTGACTTTAATTTCTGTTGGTTCATTTTAAAATGAGGTCCCTTTCCATGAACGCTCTGACTCATGTTTTCTCTTTTTTCTTCCTAGGGGACAAAAGCACTGATTATGCTAATTTTTACCAGGGTTTGTGGGACTGCACAGGGTCTCTCGCTGATGAATTATCATTTAAGCGTGGTGATGTGATTTACATTCTTAGCAAGGTAAGAAGACACCCCAAAATGACATTGTAAAGGGGCAATACAAAGCCCTATCTTTATGCATTTGGATTTACAACACTGGGGAAAAATGCCAATTGGAATTCTTCTAGGTCCTTGTTAACAATTGGGGGTTCAAATAATTAATTATTTTGTCAAGTGAAATATAATCAAATTTTAAACACAATCAGATAACAGGATTCAACTTAACAGTGTGTTTACCTATCACTTTAGCCTTGGCTCACATCCACACTCTGCCCTCTCCAGAAACAATATACTTATGTGAAAGTTAACATTGTAAGGTATTAGGTTATTTAGTATGTTTTTCTTTCCTCTTCCTTTTTATTCTTCTGTGTGCTTATTCTGATTTTGTCTGCCATTCACTACTGGAAACACTGTGTTTATAGAACAAGTTTTTCATCTTTATGTAAATACATTGGGTGTTCCGACAATTTAAAAGCAATGCTCTTCTATTCAGACAGGTTTAGGTAATTTTTTAAAAGTTTAACATAATTATATTTGTAAGCATAATGGCAAAGTATATTGCTCTGAACTCATCTTTATGTAGAAAAAAAATCATTGTCTCTGTTTTTTTAACATACTGGATTATTCAAATCTTTCTGTTCTTAGACTAAAAGTCAGGTTTCTTATTGTGATTATACTTCTGATGTGTGTGAGCTCCCTTAATTTCCATATTTTAACTTTCTCTACTATAACATGGGGATTGAAAAAAATCTCCCTCAATCTGCCTTATGAGACTATTTTAGAATCAAATGATGTATGGAAACTATTTAAATATAAGCGAGAAAATGTTATATAAATCACAGTCTAGGAGTTTAATGTGATATCTTGAGAGAAATATTTTGGACTCTTTAGAAAAAGATAATATGACTTGTTAGTTACAGAAAGGCATTTAGAAATCAGACCACTTACTGAATGTTAACACTGATGGCTGGTGCATCAAATCATAACACAGAGAATCCTAGAATATTTGAGTCAGGGGTCTTAGGGATCATCTATCTCTTTTTAGTTTTACTGATAAGGCAACTTGAATGAAGAAAGTGCCAGAGCCCATACTTAACTGGCATCTGGAATCCCAGTCTGGTGCTTTCTACTCATTTTTATCCTGTGCTTGTTTTTATCATCTTCCCTCCTTTCCTTAGTTAACTTTAATTTGAAATCTTCATAAAGTACCTATAATATGGCAGGGCTCATACTAGGCACCAGGAACCCAAAAGGAATAAAATATAAACCGCTTATAGATTATTGGGAGACATTTATTTCATAAGGAAACACAGCAAACTGTGATCATTGCTAGTTGAGGTGCCCAAAGTGAAGACCTGTCACTTATTTTTCTCAGAGCACTGCTCATTGGTATGCAGAGTTTATTTGTTTAGCTTGGAAGCTGTAGCTAACTACATACAACTCTTGGATTAAGCGTATTATTGGACTTTCAATTATCCCAAGTTTTGAGTTTATCACTTAACATAGAAAACAAACTAATTCATCTCAGTTCTTGTCAAGAAACCTTACTGAAATCATTCTTCAGTTTCTTAGTTTATCGTTTCTTTCACCAATTTAGTTGCAATTGTGTATAAAATTAAAAGATTGATAAGCACCCACTTGGAATTTCAGATCAAAGGGATAAATGGCATATAGCTATAATATATCCCTTTTGTAAAATATGAAATGTACAAAGCCCACGTGGGTCTGTTCTTAAAACCTGCTTCATGAATCAGTCTTTATTGCTGAAAACTTGGGAGACCCAAGCTCCACGCCAGACTGTGAAACAGCAGCATTCCCACAAGCTCCTCTCATTTCTACCATTGTCTCATAAAAGCATTCCCTGCTAACATGAAATTAAAAATGAAATCATAGGTGTGTGTCATATTGCTAGGACTCCCAGGAGAAGTAATTCCTGTTCTCCCAAACCTCTTTTGTAGAGATTGTAATTTTATGTGTGAAATCTGGTTACAGAGCTAAGGTTGGTTGTCTTCCAGCTCATAGGAAGAGGACACTGCTACCTAAAATTTCTATAGGCTATTATTTCAGTATAGATGGAACAAAACTACTTCCTCTATCAGGTTTTTACAGGGTCATATGTTGTACCTTTAGCATTGTTTCATGAGGGACCTGACAGAGATGGGTGCTTTATCTGGAGCTCATTTTGGTTTTTGAAAGAAGAGACCAGCCATTGTTAGCCAGCATGTTGTCACCACTGGCTGAATGATTAAATACCCAGGCTTACCCACTTGTCCACCTAGTAGAATCAACCAGGTAAATCTTTCTGAGGGTGAAGAGAAAGAACAGGACGCTTAGCTCTCCCTTGATGCAGTTTGGACAAGTTTTGTGCCTTTGATTGGCGTCTTCGCTGCAGGTTGTCAGGTTGCTAGGTTGCTCTGGGATTCAGTGTCTGTTTGTGAAGATTCTTACTTCCCCACTTTGCTTTGGGTTAAGTTCAGATAGAAATTTCTAGATATTCTCTAGTAATTTTGCATTGGCTTCACTGTTCAGTTTTTACTCAAAACTTTAGCAAACACAGACCATAAGTTAGTACTGTAAATTCCTTACTATGTGAATGATGACAGCTTTGAATTTGAATGTGAATGCTTGGTATTATTATAAATTCAAAACACACAGCCTTTAATAGAAAGAGGGAAAAATTGACAAAAGGGTTTGTTTCTAGATCAGGGTAAAGCTAACATTACATATTGATAGGTTTTTAAAGTGTAATTAGTTTAGAAATCACTAGTGTTATTGTATGCCTAGAAATTTGTTTAATCTTTTTCAGAGTCATATTCAGATTCCGTTGGTGATGGAATGAAATTTTACCATTTTAATTTATTTTTTACACCATCTAGTGGCTCAGAATGAGTGTTGCAGGTAATTGCAACTAATGTGGACAATCAAGATGATATCATAAATTCAACTTTAAATCTAGTTAGAGGTTATTACTTTCCTAGCTCATGTCAATAAAGTATTAGCATTAATCATGAAAATTTTTTTCACCATTCTGAATTAATGTTAAAAATATACACATGGAAAAGAATGCATCTTAAGGAATCAAACAGTATTTGTAGAGACATAATAAGTGTCCCCTTTACAAAGAAATTAATGCAATGACTTTTCTAATAAATAAAGCACCATTTAAAAGATTAAAAAATATGACTTGTTTTTCATAATGAACTGATCTTTAATTTGCTGAATTTATTATCATTTATTTGACTTACCTTCTAGACGGTTGTCAGTGTGAACATACTCTTTGAAAAAAGGCAGCACAAACCAGTTTAAGGAAAGATAATTCTTTCAATATAAATAAACATTTAGACAAATCAAGAAATAAAATGGCATGCATTATAATAAAGAGGGTTTTCATTTTGTTAATGTAATGACAGAAAAAGATTTGACTAGTTTGATAATTGGGCTGTCTTCATTAAAAATTCGCTACAGAAGTAATAGTTTTAGCTTAAAAATCCAGTCTTCTTTTCCTATTTTTACAAGAAATGCTTGATAGAGTTTCAGCTGCTTAGTCAGCCTTGGGGTGATTTATTTATTTTTGATTTCTTTGTGAATTATAGAAATCTTAACCTTTTAAAAAAAACTTAGTGAAAATCAAACAATAAAGAAGAAAGAGTAAGCAGATATCCTGTCCTCTTCCCCCCCCTTTTTTTTTAACATTTTCCAATTAGCAGCTGTCATGTGACCCCTGACTGAGCTAGCCCCTCCTTCAAAGCATCCAGCATTTTCTCAATTTTAACCTTTGAACCTCACTAATAATAAATCTAAATGCTGCTTGCCTATAAAGGCAAGCCAGTAACTTCTTGCTCATAGTTCTTTTCATATAGGGTTGCTGCTGTTTTTTATGGGTTAAAATAAAACACATTATATACTGGAGCAGTTCAATGGAGATTTAGAAATCTCCCCCCACCCTTTAAAAAAAAAAAAAATGGAGCACATTTACAGGGATGGATGAAAGTAGAACTTGTAATCATGAAAACTGCACTGTTTGTGAATTAACTCTGAAGCACTAGACCTGGTTTCAGATTCATTTGTAATCATATTTAAGGTAGAGAATCTTTCATTTTTTTTTTTAAGGGGTGAGGTTGTTTAGCATCATGCTAAATTCTCCTGCTAGCTTGCATTTCAATTTTATTATCACATAATATCATAGTATGGTCCTAGAATTGTGTTTGTGAAATTTTATAATTTTAATTGCAGGATCCAGGTTATATAGCTGGAGGCATAATCCACAGGACTTCACATACCTCTGGTTATGTTATTCTTGCTGTTCTGGATTTACACCCTCTGTTAGTTTATCTTTCAGTCAGTACTCACTGGTAAATTGCTAGCCGCATTTTTATTCTTACTTTTAAAGCAATAAATATTTTTGGAGTCTTAATGATAGAAGAGCTATGCGTCAGCAGGAAAGAGACACAATTCTTGTCTAGAATTAACAGAAAAAAAGAAGAAAGGTGAGAATCCTGGAATATTTTACCTCGTCTAGGACACATCTGATGTGAGCTTTGTAACTTCTTGAAAATGTTTTAAGTCAAAAACAGGGAATAGAGATTGACTGTGTTCACTAAGAAACAACATTAAGGGCCTAATTTAGTGTGTATTGGTTGGTGTTTCAAGCCTTGCCTCCCTTTATATCTCTGTCTGTGACTTTTTTCCAATGATAGGTAAATTGTGACTGTGATTGACCATTTGCTTCTTCATGTAAAAATATAGACTCAGTTACTAGGGCTTTTTTTTGTCTTCAAATCTACCAGAAAATAAGATTAATTTCACTGAATTCTACAGGCAGAGGGAAATACAGAGTTGCTTTTTAGGTCTCTTGGTTTTTCCTTTGTGACCGTCTGACCCAGGGTGCCACTTTAAATAGCATAACCATCTGCTGAAGAGTAACTAGGACATCTCAATATAGGGCATACTTGTGGACACTAAACTATTTCCCCAAATGTTGTCATGTTTTCCAGCCTTTTGGAAGGAAGAGTATTTGCACT